CAAAACCGCGCCCACCCCATTGCCGGCAATGAGGAAAAAGTCCCGATATGTTGCACGAGATCACGTGACGTCGCGAGTTTGACATGCCTGTTATATAACATTGACAGATAGCTGAGGTAGCAGATATTGGCAAATTCTACTATTGGGTGGAAAGGAATGGACTAAAAGAGAACTCATCAAATTTGCAGATGACACTAAACTGGCAGGAATAGCCAACACTCCAGAAGACAAGTTCTGGATCCAAAAAGTTCTTGAACAACGGGCCCTATCCAACAAAATGAATTTTAATGTGGGAAAAAGCAAAGTTTTACATTTAGGCAGGAAAAATCAAAGGTATAAGTACAGATTGGGCGAGACCTGGCTCAAAAACAGTAACTGTGAGCAGGATCTTGGAGTCCTAGTGGACGATCACTTGACTATGAGCCAGCACTGTGCAGCAGCAGCCAAAAAACTAATACAATCCTGGGTTGTATAAACAGAGGCATAGAATCAAGATCATATAAAATATTAGTACTGCTTTATAAAACCCTTGTAAGACCACACCTGGAAATACTGCAACCAATTTTGGTCACCATACTACAAAAAAGATGTTGAGACTTTGGAAAAAAATTCAGAGAAGAGCAAATAAAATGATCAAAGGCCTGTAGACTTAAGCATATGAAGGGCAGCCGCAGGAGTTAGGTTTGGCTAATCTAAGGAAAAGAAGAAACAGGGAGGCCTTTGAACTATGGTGCTGGAGAAGACTCCTGCAAGTCCCTTGGACTGCAAGGCGTTCAAACCACAGTCCTAGAAGAGATCAACCCCGACTGCTCTTTAGAAGGCCAGATCCTGAAGTTGAAACTCAAATACTTTGGCCACCTAATGAGAAGGAAGGACTCACTGGGAAAGAGCCTAATGCTGGGAAAGATTGAGGGCAATAGAAGAAGGGGACAACAGAGAATGAGGTGGCTGGATGGAGTCACTGAAGCACTAGGCGTGAGCTTAAATGGACTCCAGAAGATGGTAGAGGACATGAAGACCTGGAGGAATGTTGTCCATGGGGTCGCAATGGGTCGGACACGACTTCGCAACTAACAACAACAACAAAAAGGCAATATGAATATATATAAAACCTCTTTCTTTTTATTTATGTACAGAAAACCTCTTTCTTCTGCTATTAAAAATGTGGTATGCACTAAACAGATCATAATAGACACATGATATAAATTTCCACTATGTGCAGATGATCCATTCCATTTAATAAATCAGCCAGAAAATTGCACTTCTTATTTCATTTCACTAATTCATAGGCTTAGTGCCCCATCTGATTACTCTATAAATTGGAGCAAATCCACTGGGTCTGAAGTAGGAATTTTTATATGTACAGTGGGTTGGATTCAGGCAATATTCTGATTCTTTTGTTTAATTCAATCTAAGAACTCCTAGGAAGCTGCTCAAAGGATAAATCTCAATATTTTTACACAAATGAATGTTGACAGATGCTCCAGCATTTCTTTGAGCATTTAATGATGAAAATGAATTTAACTCAGAAGATGAATTGTATTTTTTTACCTTTTTATTTGTAGGATATTAAACATTTTTTTTTCTAATAGAGGTATCCCTCAAGATTTTCACTGTAAACTACAGCTAGCTGTTTGGAAAAGTTAAGATTATGCCACACTTTCAGTTTTATCACTGGACTCTTCATGCCAGAAAAGCCATTTAGAAATTGGAATGTTAATTCATATTGTCTGGACTTGTCCTACAAGTACCACAGTAAATACATAGTATATAAATACTATGGTAATGAAATCCATAGGATAGTTATTATGGCTTTAATTGAACATTGTTAATTGAAGATTTATAAATTATCCTTAGCTATATCCCCAACATTTGGAGTCTATTAAGATATCAGGAACTGAGGATTTTCCATTCATTGGGGATGACCAAAATAATTATTATACAACACAGGAAGAACTTATTAGCACTTGAATAGCTGAAGAATAGAACAAAATAGAATAGAAACTTTATTGATTTAATCATCTGACCATATCAAAAATATAAAACTGATACAAGAATTCAAGTAAATATAAACAAAACAGTATATAATTATACGTTGTCACTCCTATAGTTAACCTCAATTTGATCTATATAGTCTGCCTTCTTCAAAATAGCCTTTGATATAAAGAGTGCAGTCTTACTAGCGATATGCAGGTTCATTTCCTGCAAAAAGTGTGACAATTTCTCCTGGGTGCCCCATTTTTTTTTAGGTTTTAAATAAGAATCTAGGTCAGGCATGTCAAACTCGCGACGTCACATGACATCGCGCGACGTATCGGAGCTTTTTTGCCATTGCTGGCAATGGGGTGGGCGTGGCTCCGATATGATGAAACCGGCCCGCGGGCCGGCAGTTTCACACCCCTGATCTAGGTAAACAGATCTTTTTGCAAAATACAATCTGCAATCAAGGAGGCTATGTGCAATGTGTTCAACAGCTAGTGTACTAAAATTATGCAATCTTTCTTCGAATGGAACTCCACGAAAGCTCCTATATCTCACCATAGAATCTAGCTATCAATCAATCAGAATAAAGCTGGAAAGAACCTTCGAGGTCTTCTAGTCTAACCCCCTGCTCAAGCCGGAGACCCTATACCATTTTGGACAAGTGACTCTCCAGTCTCTTCTTAAAAACCTCCAGTGATGAAGCACCCATAATTTCTGAGAGCAGCTGTTCCGCTAGTTAATTGTTCTCACTGTTAGGAAGTTTCTCCTTAATTCCAGGTTGCTTCTCTCCTTGATTAGTTTCCATCCATTGTTTCTTGTCTTGCCTTCTGATGCTTTGGAAAATAAGTTGACCCTCCTCTTTGTGGCAACCTCTCAAATACTGGAATACTATCATGTTCCCCCTAGTTCTTCTTTTCTCTAGAGTAGCCAAACCCAAATCCTGCAACCATTCTTCATATGTTTTTGTCTCTAGGCCTTTAAGCATAAGCTTTTCAAAACAAGCTGTTAATCATAAGCTGTTTAATCATAAGCTGTTCAAAATAAGCTATTCAAAACAAGCTCTAGAAAAAGCTCTTCTAAAGAATTGAGGCATGTAAGTTATTAAATACTTTTTTTAACTAGGAAGCCTATTTGTGTTGAGCCAGCCATTTCCTCTTAAGCAGCCACATTAATGATTTGTTGTTTAAAACATATGTTGGCCTTCAGATCTGACTGAATTGGATTGCAAATCCATATTGTGAGATGACATTTGAAAGTTGGGCAGCCGAAGCATGAGGAGCATGTTATGCAAGAGCTCTGCAGAACAAAGCCTGGGTAATCTATCTAGGTCCATAAATAAGATCTTCGGCCAATAATTAACTTCTTTAATAACTAGATGGCTTGGTATAGGGAATATACTCAACTTTTCCCTTACTGCTGGAGTTGGTATACACTTATTCACACACACACACCAGGATGTGTTTCAACAAAGTGGACTGTATCTGTTCCAATAAAGAGGCATTTCTATATCCTCATGATTCTACATCATACATAATCACTATTTTGTTATATACCCTTATGATTGGAATTAGAGAACCTGGGTAGCTACGGTTGGTCAGTTGTCTTGTGATGTTGGCATAGCTGGTAGCCCTTTAAAAATTTCTCTTAAAATGTGGGAGCTAGGAATCTCCTTCTGCATGAACAATTCCTAAGTATAGATAGATCTTAACATGATCAATATGTACAGGCTCCAGTTATACCTAGTCCACCTCTTCCCAAAACAACTACCTTGGCCTTGACATTATTGATGTTCAGGTAGTTGAGTGCACAGTATGAACCAAATCTGCACAGCAATATTTCATTCCCACCTGGCATTAATTCTGTAGAATTGCATCATTCTGCAGAAAGCAGAATGTTTACATATTTATTTTTATATCATCTATCTATCTATCTATCTATCTATCTATCTATCTATCTATCTATCTATCTATCTGTCTGTCTGTCTGTCTGTCTGTCTGTCTGTCTGTCTGTCTGTCTGTCTGTCTGTCTGTCTATCTATCTATCTATCTATCTATCTATCTTGAAAGGACTTTTGGATATCATTAATTAAACAAAATAGGAGCTAATATACATCCTTGTCTGACTCCCATTTGCTGCCATGGATTTCTGATATAAATTGATATCTCAATAGGGGACTTTTTTCAACAAAAGGCCAAATTACAGTTAAGCAATTTGGTCAATTTGTTTGGATTGCTCAGCCTCTTTGTTTTTTGTTTGTTTTGGGTTTTTTGATAAATTCTGTGCCATATTATTTTGTTAACCCTATTTATGTAGGCAATATTTGTTCTTTATTCTAATTAGTCTGAGATAATACAAACTTTTTTAAAAAAATATGATTTAATCTGGGATGCATGCACTGTACATAACCTATTATTGAACAATACAGAAGATAGTAAGTTATTATTGGATTACTTGTTCAGAATAATTGTTTAAGCAATTACAGAAAGGTCCAACATTTGATTTTGAACAATGACTACTAGATATCTCTAAACAGCTATTAACAGGGCAAAAAAGTAATCACAATTTTTATTTCTAGGATCCACTACTTGAAGACTGAGAGACCATCTACTGCTCATTTAACTGCTGCTAGTGAATTTAGTTTTCATGAAATTTTATTCACTTATTCTTGAGTTGGCAGAACATTGTCTTGGCATGAAATCTGCTGCTTCCATTGCTGGTCCTTTCTCCACTTCCCAGCCATTGTCTGCCCTTGGATGTTATCAGAATAAAGAGGAAAATACTATTTTAATACTAATAGACGTAAGGACAACTTCAGTCTGTCTTCTTCATGGGCGAGGGAAAAGATGAAAATAAGAAACATGTTGCCAGAATGTCTACAGTTACCAATTAATTTTGAGATATCTGGTTTAAAGAGTAGTTACTTCAAGCAGATAATCATACAAATTCTTGGGGACAAGAATTACTAAAATTGCAAGGATTATTTATCATATTGAAGAATCCCATTATACTATTGTTACCTCTGATGATTTCTTTGCAATGATATTCAGTGCTGTTGCTTCTTGGGCTATTTCTGCTTTGCCTGTCTGCTGGTTTTGCTCTGCTGCAGGTAATGCTCTAGGCAGCAAATCTGCCAAAGAAATAAATATATTGTAAGTGTGAGAAAGAGAGAGTAAAAAGGAAAAAGTCTCCAAAATTAACTAGACCAAAAAAAAAAAAGGTTGCTGCTCCAATGGTGGCTAGGCTAATTCATATGCCGAGACAGAATGGAAATCGCCATAGAATTCTGCGGAACTTTACTATTAACTCTGCTTACGATCTCTTTTTTTTCCAAAATAGAAGAAATTAACATAAAGAACAAACACTTGTACTTTTTAGTGTGAAAAATATATGGAAAGAATCAGAAAATTAGGCCCAGTATCATCCCTGTCACTAAATTTCCCTTTTTTATAATTTTTATTGAATGTTTTGACGACAATAATAATAACTAATACAAACTAAAATAGAACAAAAGGGAGAATGAAAAGGGGAGGAAAGAAAAAGCTAAAATGCAGAAAGAAAAAGTAGAAAAAAAGAGAAAGAAGAAGAAAAGATATAAAGAAATATATAAAGATGTGACTTCCAATCTTAACAACAGTTATAAATACAATTACATTTTAACCTCTCTCTCTCATTACACCACAGCTCTCTTCTTTCTATATTATATCCTGTCAAATCTTTGGAACCATAAATCATAAGTTTTTTTTCTTATACAAAAAGTACATGAGGAGTTTTCAGTCACCAATAATATAAATGTTGTCTTTTCTCTAATCAAACAAGTCAATTTAGCCATTTCAGCAAATTCTATCTTTACCAACCATTCCTCCATTATGGGTATTATCAAATATGTCCATCTTTGTGCATACAAATAATCTAAGGCATTCAGAGAAGGTCAGACCTAGCATTCTTGTGTTTATGTAGACAGTCTAGGCTAATTCCATACTTGAGCCCCCCTCCCACTTCACAAATCAGGATGGTTGCTTTCTAACCCAATCAATGGAAAAATTTCCTCAGATTTGCTCAGCAAATCTAGAGTAAAGCAGTTTTCGTCAGTGTGTTTGGTGAGCCAGCTTAATATATATATTCATTAATGACAAATTGCAGACAGCACTGACCTGCAGAAAAGTGATATAAACTATTTTTTCTTTCATAAATAAAATAAAGTTCTTCCTATCCTTTTGATGTACAACAAAAAGAAGTGCATATAGGACTTGTTTTACAATTTTGCTTTATGCTTGTGTTCACTTTCTGTAAATAATTTGATTCCCTACATTGCACAATAACTAAACTGGCTAGGTTTTTACGACACTCTAAGGCACAAAAAATCCTAGCCAAGATTAAAAATAACTGACCTGATTCCCTGATTTTTAACTGACCTGGTGCATTGTGTTTTGCAACCCAATCCAAAGATAAGCAACTCACTAGACTAGAGGTTTTGAACTTCAGTTCATATCAGTCCCAATTCACATGACCAAGAAAACATTGTGGGGAATTGTAATTCAAAATGCATGGAGGATACCTATCCTGGTCTAGCTAATTATGTAGTTTTTATTCTGTATCATGGAAACCAATAATTAGAATGAGCATACACTTAAACACATATTTGTGTTCTAGTATTTCTTAATTAAATAGTTTGTGACAAATGAAGGCAAATATACGTGGCCCAGGATAATGTTGCAGGATCCAATCTGGATCAGTCACCAGGACCAGAGATTTAGCCTTCCGAGCTTTCGGACTTGTGTTGGAGCCCATCCTCAGGGAACTTGTCTCTCAATAGAATGTGTGCTTTTGGCTATTCTACACGTAGTATTTAGGTGGTGCTTGGTGGTGTGTGGCTTTTTTGGTACTTAGGACAGGTACTTTAGGAGCCTAAGACTTCGCAGCACAAGGGAACAATAGCCAACAACTTAATAATTGGCTATCAACCACCCAATCAACAACTAAAAAGCCACACATAACCAGACATTACATAACTACTATGCATAGAATAGCCCAAAGCACACACTCTGTTGAGAGAGGATGAGTTCCCTGAGGATGGGGGCTCCAGCACAAATCCGAAAGCTCGGAAGGCTAAACCTCTGGTCCCAGTGACTGACCAAGATTGGATCCTAAATGGTTTGTTTGTATTTTCTTTTTTCATGACTAATCCATTTCCTAAATTACCAGCAATTTATGCAAACCTATATACAGTATTTCTGATTAGAAGAATCAATATCTTATATACTCATGGCAATTGATAAAAAAAAATTCTATAATTCAGATTTAAGTGTTCCTCTCCTACACTTGGCCAGCTCCTTCATTTGTTCAGGTTTCATTCACCTCAGTGATTTTCCAGACTACGTTGGTTATAATTTCTCTGAAGTCTTACCCATTTTACACAAGATCAATATAAGGGAAAACATTGAAAAGATAGATGCCAAAGCTTTATTATTGCTCTAAGGAAGAGCAGATACACTTGAAAATGTTTTTCCATTAGATACCAACTATTAAATCATTTTTACCATTTTGTTCATCACAAAAGAGAATTCAAATGTAAGGAATGTTTCTGAATGAGACCAAAGGTCCATCTTAACATCCTGCTTTCTAAGCCAAATAGATGACTTTTCATTTAATGTGAAAACTTTTATATAGAATACTTTTATATAGTTGTTTAGATGACTTAGCTAAGAGACACCAGATTATGATGAAACTGAAGTTGCTGAAACTTTTAAATGCAAAAACATGGATAGCAATGTAAACATTTATTGCTTACGTTGGACATTTTCTGATGGAGGGAGTTCTGAAATGGGATCTGAGCCAAGGGTAGCTGGTACATAAGCTTTGTTAGAAGGCTTCTGGGAGAAAAGCATTGCATGTGAAATGCGCCGTCTAGTCCGGCGTGCAATTTCACGTTCATTATGCATCAGTTGTTCATCTTTTAAAATAGCAAGAACTTGCTTAGCCTTCTCCCTCACATGGAAACCTGTTGAAAAAGAAATATTGATAAATGTGTAACGCTTACTAATGCTTTCTGTAGTTACTATATTCGATACAGGACTTTATGGATTTGGAAAATGCTAAGTGCCAGTAATGTAAAGATACCTAGTACAATACCTAGTACAATTCTCTTGGTTTTCAAATCATAATCACATTTTATACCTGTCTCTAATAAAAATTGTTTTTTTCCTAACAAGAATTTGTTAAAATAGCCCAAGCATTATATGCTCCTTTAGCTAAAGTAGTGTTATGAAAAACTGCCATTTTCAGAAATAGGGGATGTCATGCAAATAGAGCCTGAAATGTTATTTCTGATATTGTAACAAATATGCTTGTGTCTCAAGGGTGCTTTTTCAAAAGGCAACTGGACTTTCTTAGGGTTTTTTTTTCCCTTCAAGATGTTTTGCTTATCATCCAAGAAGCTTCATCGGTTCTGGCAGGATGATTGTGGGGAGGGAAATAGAAGGATTCATTCTGACAGGATTGGGGCGGTGGAAAGAATATATTTCTTTGCAGTCGTTAGCACTCTCTCTGAGAGCCATTGAGGCCACTTGGAGGTTTATTTGTGCCCTCAGGGTCACCTGAATAAGACTGCAAATGGGGGTGGAATCTTCTTGGAACTGCCAAAAGGACTGTTTTGTAGACAGGAGATAGGTGATGACTTATCCCTCTTATCTATTACTTGGTATCCTAAACTTTGTAAATTGCACATGCATCAATTAGTGGATATTTTTCTACTATAGTTTGTAATCCAACTTAAAGCAGAATATAATAGACTTAATTAAAATTAAAATTTGGTGATAAGAAAGGAAGCTTTTTATTGAAATAATTATTAAGTATCTTAACATTATTTATATATCAGTTCTAACCAGTGCTTTTTTTGTAAAAAAAAAAAAAAAAAAAAAAGGCGCCAGAGCTCACACATGTCATACAACCCACCTTGCCTACCCTACTCCGTTCTGGGCGTTCTATGACAAAAAAAAGCCCTGGTTCTAACAATCAGAAACTAAAGACTCACTGCATCTTGCAAGATGATGCAATAATTTATTTAAAAGGCGCTCTATCATTTATGTCAATAGGAAATAAAACAATAATACAGTGCATGGCTTTAGTGTTGTAAATGAACAAAGAAGTTGCTATTCTTTTGTTTTATAATATGCATTTTTTTTCTCTTGTAAACCACATAAATAAAAATAACTGACATAACTAAATCATTAAAGTTAAATGACTAAAAACTAAAATTAAGAATGTCATGTTTACTATAGGATACAGAGATCTGACTGATTATGCTGTTAATTAAGAAATAATAAATTATTATATGACTTGATGTAACTTTCTTTTAATTTTACATGCTGCCTAATTAGTCCATATGGTTTGTTGCCTGCCAAAAACAACCTTATAAATCCAATCAATACCATGTATGCAGTTTGTAAAGTGATGATGATACGAGCAAAAAACTAAACTAGTCTTTACTATCTATAATCTCTTGAATGATGTATGAGATTCTGGGATGCCAATAATCTCATAGATCAAGATGATAGTGAAGGAGAAAGATATGCTATTGCACACAAAGACATCAGTGGGAAGGAAAAAGGGAAGGATCATAGCAGGACAGTTGTACTTTTGCACAAATTTGAAAAGCCTAGTCATGATTGCTTTTACTCTATTATTGACTTTTTCCATGGATTAAACAACCCCTTAAGGGGAAAAATGCGATCTTATCTGGAAATGCTGAGGAGTGAATCTGTCTTTTTCAATATCCAAAGTATATGCAGTACTACTGAACTATGGCCTCCCTTCATATCTAATTATGCGTTTGCTTCAGAATCCATGAGGAAATAGATGATTAACCCCATCCCTACAATTACTCCAATATTAAGGCTACTAAATCTAGGATACAAAAATGTGATAACCACTTTGTTGTTGTTATTATTCAGAGGTTCAGTTATTTTCAACTCTACATGACCTGATAGATAACAATTGACCAGGACTGTCTGTGAATCATTCCTTTTTTAAAAAAAATATTGTAAACTCGTGCTTGTGCCATCAGTGATAACATCTAGTCATCATGTCTTCTGCAGGCTCCTTTTATTTTCTATCCAGTTTTTCAAGCATCAAGCACTTCTCTAGAGAACATTTGCTTTTGCATCCAAAATATTTTAGCTTTAACTTCATTATTAATGCTTTCAGTGAATTGTCTTGTCTTACTAGTACCAAATGATTTGATCTTCCTGCTATCCTGCTGTATATTCTCAACCATTTTTCCCAGCACTATAATTCAAAGAGATCAATTTTTCCTCATTTAACCTTTCTGTAATAATAATAATAATAATAATAATAATAATAATAATAATAATAATAATAATAATAATAATAATAATAATAATAATAATAATAATAATAATAATAATAATAAAGTTTGAAGGGACCTTGGAGGTCATCTAGTCCAACCCCCTGCTCAGGCAGGAAACCCTATACCATTTCGGACAAATGGCTGTCCAGTCTCTTCTTAAAAACCTCCAGTGTTGGAGCATTCACCGCTTCTGGAGGCAGGTTATTCCACTGGTTAATTGTTCTAACTGTCAGGAAGTTTCTCCTTAGTTCTAGGTTGCTTCTCTCCTTGCTTAGTTTCCACCCATTGCTTCTTGTCCTGCCTTCAGGCGCTTTGGAAAATAGCTTGACTCCCTCTTCTTTGTGGCAGCCCCTGAGATATTGGAACACTGCTATCATGTCCCCCCTCGTCCATCTCTTCATTAAACTAGACATACCCAATTCCAGCAACCGTTCCTTATATGCTTTAGCCTCCAGTCCCCTAATCATCTTTGTTGCTCTTCTCTGTAGTCTTTCTAGAGTCTCAACATCTTTTTTACATCGCGGTGACCAAAACTGGATGCAGTATTCCAAGTGTGGCCTTACCAAGGCATTGTAAAGTGGTATTAACACTTCACGTGATCTTGATTCTATCCCTCTGTTAATGCAGCCTAGCACTGTGTTGGCCTTTTTGGCAGCTGCAGCACACTGATGGCTCATATTTAGGTGATTGCCCACTAGGACTCCGAGGTCCTTCTCACAGTTACTACTATTGAGCAAGGTACCCCCTATACTATACCTGTGCATTTGTTTTTTCTTGCCTAAATGTAGAACCTTGCTTTTTTCACCATTGAATTTCATTTTGTTAGATAGCGCCCAGTGTTCAAGTCTGTCCAGATCCTTCTGTATCTTAAGCCTGTCTTCTGGAGTGTT